TTTGTCTCGGCGCAGCTGCGAAACGTTTTCTGTTGTTCAGTTCTTGGAGGGGGGGAGAAAGTGCACTGTTTCTTTCCTCGGCGTATTCTTCGGCACTATTCTGACTTTGTCAGAATGCGGCAGCACGACGGACGACTGCGATCGCGCCAACGAAATCCACGGTCCCTGCTCAATCGAGTTTGAACTTCGCGTCAGCAGGTTCCCTCCTTCTCGCGTCAGTCGTCGACCGTCCGATCTACATCTGCTAGATCAATGGTACACATTCCAACCTTCACAACCATTTGGCCCAGTTCATCCTCGACCGTCAGATCGAAATCGGACTCCATCGACGGCCGACATTCCAACCTTTTCAAAAATATTGTCAGCCGTCGGATTCAGCTGAAGGGGAGATCTACGGCATCCTCGCTAGTGTGGGGCCTGTTTTCAGTACAGGACTTTTTTTTTTTTTTTTTTTGGGACATAATACACTATACAATGCATTACATCCACAGTCGTAACTGTAAAAAGAGGGAAGGTGCAGGCTACCGACTTGCGCTTTGCACTGCCTTCCCTGTAGCCATTTACGGTGGCTTAAAGAAAGTGCTGGGTCTCTCCCATATCGAGTTGAAAGCACTAATCCACACCAGTTGTTCGTCTTGTACGCAGATGCGGCTCAGTGCGGCAGCTTCGCTAGTTGCCAAATTTGTCCAGACTCCTCCATCCCCTCTCTTCCTCGGACCTTCCTTGCCACCGCACCCCTCACTGTAGATCCGCACATGTCTCCTGAAGTTTGCCCCAATCTTCCTAGCCACTCGCTTGGGTTCAAAAAAATTCTTCCGGAAAACCGCGTCACACCTCTCCAGCCAGATGTGCCTGAAGGTGAGCGCAATCAGTGTCGATTCTGGGAAACCGGAGGTAGTGCTGTCTTCAGCAAATAGCAGCTCGCCTAGTGTCCCTACTGCTCTTGCTGGGTTGATCAGGCGCAGTGAGTCCTGAAGCGCGCCACAAATTCCGCTCACCACCGGGCAGCTCATCAAGCAATGGGTAGGCGACTCTTCTTGTTTGCAGTGAGGGCAGCATGCACGCGAGCCAAAAAAGGCCAGCCTGCTGCCCACTTGGAGATTGTGGCTGTGTAACCTCAGCAAAACTTCTCTTGCCTTGGCTGGGACATCCAGCGAGTCCCTTTTCCTGATAGCCCTCTCCCAGTCAATCTTCCCTCCCCAGCTCTCTTCCCACTTTTTCTGCTGCTTTGGCTGCTGCACCGGCTTCTTGAGTAGATGCCTCAGCTTTCTTTGAGCCGTTGGTTTGCCCTCCCCACATAGAAACGAAGTCCTTAGTCGCGTCAGTGGGTCACCCGCCTTCCCTACCACGTACCCTTCGCGTGCCACCATCGGAGTCAGTATGTTAATCCGCGACGGTGTCTGCGCCTCTACCCCCGTATGTGTTATCTTCCCCTTGATGTCCACAGCCACTCTTTCGCACTTAAGATCTTCCTTGTCTGACAGCGTCACTTGAAAATAACTCTGCCTTCCTTCCACCGTTCTCCCCACTTTGACCAGGGTCGTGGTTTCCGCAATTTCCGCCGCCGACACTTTCGCAAGTAGTTTTAATTTCCAGCTCTCCAAGACTGCCTTCCAGGCCCTCAGCGCCCATCTCGCCGTGGACGAACGTCCCGTTTGTTTGGTCAGCGTCCACAGGTCCTTCACCTTCCAACTCCCGTCATACTCCTCCTGCAGTAAGTCTCCCACTTTTAGGCCCTTCAGACACTCCGCGCCTTTCTGCCTCCCGAAAGGGCTCTCCCCTTGGTAGTGGATCCATTTGCTGAACCACAGGTGTTCTTCCTCCATCTCCCACCTGTTCGCAGGTTCGGGCATCTCCGGCAGTTGCTTCTCCCATATCAACGGCACCAGTGATTGCCATCGTTCACTGCCGCCTTTCCACTCCGCGAGGATTGCTTTGTGTGCCAGCAGTGTTGCCCAGCCCAGGGGCATATTTGCTGCTTTCTCCATCAGCCACTGCTTCATCGGATTTCCTTCCAGCAGGGCCGCCCCCAGGTTCCATAGCGCTAGTCCATTGACTCTTTCCGTCGGGCTGATCACCCCCAACCCCCCTTCTTTCCTGCTCAGGTGTGCCAGGAACTCGCTCCAGAGAATGAAATGTTTCTCCTCATCCGCACAGCCTTTCGATATGAAGTTGTGGCAGAGCTTTGTAATCTTCTTCCATATCTGCTTCGGTGGCTGGTAGATCTGCACCTGGAAGAGAATCACCGGCATCACGTACGCGTTCAGCACCGTCACTCTTGCCGATGTGGTCAGGTGCAATTTTTCCCAGTTGCGCAGTATCGTATTTACCCGCACCAATGCTCTATCCCAAGTCGGTTCTGTCCTCCCGTCTGCCGTGATCCATATGCCTAACAGCCTTTCTGGTTTGTCTCTTTCCGCCCAGCCGAAACCTGTGTCCGTTCGTGGGGGGAGTAGTCTGTTCTTCCCCAGCGGCATCACCGTGGACTTCCCTTGGTTAACTTGCAAGCCTGACCTGGCACTGAAGTCATCAAGCAGCTTCTGCGCCTTCCCTAGCTGCACCTTGCCTTGCAGCAACAACGTCGTATCGTCCGCGTACCCCAAGTACGTCAGCTCCCCTTTTCCTCTTTTTTGCAGCCCCAATTTCCTTCTCTTTGCTTCCTGACACAGTGGTTCAGCCGCGCAGATGAAGAGATACGGTGCAAGCGGGCAGCCTTGCCTTACTCCCGACTCCACCGCTACCTTCTCCCCCAGCCAACCGTTGACCAAGAGCTGAGTCGCCGCCTGATCATGCAGTCCCTTCGTCCACTTGATGAAAGCTTCCGGGAAGCCCATCTGCTCCAATGTACGGAATAAGAAGCTTCGTGACACCGAATCATACGCTTTTTGAAAGTCGACCATTAGTAAGTACCAGTCTTCTCTCCCCAGTACTGCAGCATCAATTGTGTCCGCCACCACTTTCACCGCGTCTGCTAGTCTCCTTCCTGGGACGAAGCCGAACTGGTTTTCAGAGATGACCTGCGGCAGCTCTTTTTTCATCCTGTTCGCCAACAGCTTCGCTACTATCTTGTAGACTGCTCCCAGCAAAGTGATAGGTCGATAGTTCCCTAAGTCTGTTTTCTCCCCCTTCTTGTGCAGCAGGATCGTTACGGCCGTGGAGAAACTTTCCGGCAGTTCTGCATTTTTTTCAAAATCCTTCATGAAGTCCATCACCGTGTCACCAAGCAGGTCCCAGTTGTCCTCTAGAAGCTCCTTTGGCAGCCCATCTGCCCCCGGAGCCTTACCCCTCGGAAGTTCTTTCATCGCTTTTTTAACCTCGGCTTCTGTCCACGGCGCAGCTAACCGGCCCGCTCCTTCTGCGTTCAGCGTCTTGCAGGGATCCACTGGCCACTCCTCCAGCCCCTCGTTGCGCGTTTTATCTTGGAAGAGTTTGGTGAAGAAATCCGACACCGCCGTCAGCACCTCTCTTTCTCCTTCGAACTTATTCCCTTCGTGCAGCACCTCCTTAATTGACGTCTTCGCTTTCCTCGATGATATCCTCCTGGTCAAAAACTTTGTCGCAATCTCCCCATCCAATTCTGCTCCCACTCCTGCCATTGTCTGCTTCCGCTTCCTCTGACTGTCTCTGTAAGCCTTCAGTTGCGCCTCAAATTTCACCAGCTCATCATATTTGTCCGTTTGTCCAGTGTCTGCCATAAACTCCTGCCGTAACGCCGCTACTTTGTCCTCCAGATGAGCAATGGTTCTCCCGATCCTTTTCCTCTCCTCCCTTGCATGAGCTTTCAGGCTGGCCTGCAGCGTACTGAGAGTGGATTGCAGCCCTTTTCCACCCTTATCTTTCTGGCCTTGCACCACCTTCTGTATCGTCTGTCTGGTACCCCTGCTTCTTGCTTGCGTAGCGTGCATCCTCCACAGCCCAGGGCCGTAGTCTGCTCCCGTCGTCGCCGTCAGGACGGTGGTGATCCCAAACCAGTGATCAGTGACTCCCACCGGCGCCGCCATGTGATATGCATCTGCCACCATCGGTAACATCGAGAGTGACACCAGCGCGCGATCAATGCGCGAACTCGTCATCGTCGATTTTGCCAGAAAGGTGTACTCCAGCCTCGTTGGATAAAGTGTTCTGAAGGTGTCTCTTAGCTCCCAGCTCGAGCATGCATCCAGCATCCTCTTATTTTCAGCTTCCGATCCCCCCATTGAGGTTTTGTCCATGACAGGGTCCGCCACCACGTTGAGGTCGCCTGTCAGCAGTAGATGACCCGATTTCGGCAGAGAGTCCATGAAACCAACCAAGCAGTCTCTGAAGAAAACCCCTCTTGCCGTTGCTTGTGCAGGGAAGTAAGCCGCTACCAGCGTCCATGACAGTTCTCTCCAAGTGACGGTTACTGCTACTAATCTTCCTGATTCATGAGCCCGCATGTCACTGAATCCCACTTCTTTGTTAAAACTCAGGATTGCCACCCCCCCCGCCGTTTCTTCCACGGATGCCACTGCCTTCGCCATTGACTTTGTTTGGGTCCAGAAATTATGGTCCTCCTGCAGCCTTGTGTCCGTAAGGATTACTATCCCCCTCGACTTGTCGAGCCACTCTTGCAGGCACTCCCGCTTCTCGGCGCCGCCCAGCCCATTTACATTGAGCGCGCCAATGGTGAGTTCGTGCTTTTTATCCATTAAACCACTGGTTGAGACCCCTCTTCATCCACGGGTCTGGCAGTTCCTTTGTTCCGTTCTTCACTGACTGCAGCAGCCTCCACCGGTCAAGAAAGCGTGTTGCAAAGATGATACCACAGAGTACAGCTGATGCAAGCGAGATGCTAACCACCGCTCCTCCTACCACTACGGTCTGAAGTTCATGAAGAAAACCCTCACACTTTTCCTCCCATGCCGCTACTCTCTCAAGCCCACTTTGACGGGATACACAACAAGGCTTCGTCTGCAGATTGCGACTCTGAGCACCCTCATGCTGATGCAAGCACCCAGAGCTTCCAGCATTGACCTCCTTTACTTCGTCGGCTTCACAGTGTACTCCTTTTTGAAGGCGAGCATCTTCTGCGAGAACACACTGGCACGGTTTGCTGAGACTTCCTTCTTCAACCCTCCCTTGTGGCGGGCAGACGCGATGTGAGCAGATGCCTGCTCGAAACGGTTCCCTTGAGCCTTTTCGCACACAGTCTGGACACAGACCCATTCCTCCCGAGCACCGCCGGTGGAGGTGAGAATAACAGCCGGGTCCCTCATGATACGCTTCAGAAGATCTGAGGCTTTCAGGGATGCCGCTGCGGGGGGGGAGGAGCAGGCATCCGTCAGTACGAGACAAGAGATGAGGAGCGAGCGACAAGGTGGGGACCACCAACGAGTAAGTAGTTGCACAGCTTATACCGTTCATCTCGTGAACCTGTTTAACCGTCAGGTTCCAGTTGTTGAAATTCTCCTGTCTCGGGGAAACATAACGATCATGGTAGCGTGACATGTGTTGTCCTCCGCAGAAATCGCAGGTCAGCGACGGGAAGTGGAGCAGATATCGCTTCGCCGTGGTCGGATCTTCCACAAAGTACCTCCAGCGGTACTCGTCGTCCACATGAGGGATGAGCAAGCCGCGGATGCGATCGGTGTCCAGTCCCGTCACAGGATCAACCGTCCGATGAAAGCCGAAACCGCTGGCGAAGGCACTCCTGCCTCTCTTCACCAGCTTCGACACCACCAGGAGACGGCGAACCAGCTCCGCCGTTATGTCTGCAGGTACGCCTTTAACCACCACTTCCTTAGCCGTTGGGTTCAACACACGCTCCCTCAAGAAGCGCGCATCTTCAGGGTGTTGCCAGGTGAGGTCGATGAAGTCCCCATTTACACACTCATGGCGAATCACTTGATTCCAGACGAAGTTCGCGTCGCGGACTTGGTTGAAAGTGACTTGCAGGCGACCATAACGCTCTCCAGAAAAGTACACCGCCGTCAGATCTTGATATGTCGTAGTCAGTAACGCATCCTGCGTCAGGTGTTCCCTCCATTCATCCAGCATTGCTGCGACCGTAACAGCAGCACGCTTAACCTCAACTTTCCTGGAGAAAGGCACCAGTAGTGTTAGTGAGAATCTCTTCAAGGCAATAACACTGTTAAGCGAGTCAGGTTCCAGATGTTCATCGGAGTCATCACTTAGGTAGCCATCGTCCTCTTCATCCGGAGATGCCATCGACGGAGCATCTTCATCATCATGTGTCTTCTCTGCCGTAGTAGCCTCATCACGTAAACCATCCTCCGTCGCGGAGTCCTGAGAGTTGTCCAATAATCCACCCTCCTCATCCTGGTCCTTCACCCCTGAGTCCGTGCCATTATCAGCCTTGTGCTGCAGGTCCGACAGAGCTTCAAATGGTCCGATCACTGGAGCAGAGGAGGAGCTCGCTTGAGATTTTCCCCCAGCAGTAGGGTCCTTCACAGGTACGTCAGGTGCGTCTGCCGTTTCCTTGTCTGCGACATTGTCCGCTGCCTTCTTGTTGCTCTTGTTGCTTCGTCCCTTCCCCATAGTGCTGTGATGAAAAGCGCTTGACATCCTAGCAAAGGCTGATGAAAAAGCTGATCTGAGCACAGAAGCCGAGAGTTGTTTAGCTTTGTGTCGTTGATGCTTGAAAACAAAGCATTGCAGGTCCAGGCTTGGTTGAAACTGAGACTCCAGCGGAGTTGTCGAGCAGCCTTGGTAGTTCACTTCCTCGATGATGACGCGTGATCCTTGAAATGGTAGAGGTAGATATCGGTGGTTGTGACCATGGCGCCTTGAGCTTGTGTAGTTGCCATATGCATTCCCTTTGGCAGACGTTGAGTGTACCCATAACAGTAGCCTGGAACTCTCATAAGTGTATTTTAGGTTCCTGTAATGAACTCTAAAATTACACCATTGTGTAGAGCTGGAAGCCGTGTATCGTTTGAGTATACTCAATGTTGAATCTGCTAAGAAATTGCTGCACATTGGGCTTGTTGAAGCTAACGGCCATGGCCATGGCTGCCTAGAAGTTGCCATCAAGCGAAATTTCTGTGGAGGCCGTTTTCGGGCCGTTTTCAGTACAGGACTGCCTTATTTAGAAGGTGGGAGAGTGTAAGGATTTACAACTCCTTACTGAGGCACTCGTTAGCGAGGCCATCCCGAGGGTCACGCGACGAACCTGTCTTGCCTATTTCGTCGCACCGAACCACCCCCGAGTCGCCTCCGCTCCAATCGCAACATCACCGAGCCATCCTTCGCCCGACCTCTTCGCCTATCTAGGATTCCCCTTATAAATTCCCGTCACTTTCCTTGTATCGTGATTTCTGTAATCAGTCATTCTCGTTATTCGTTTTACTGCGCACTCTGCAAGTTCATTCATAACACAGGGTAATTGCCCTGTTACCGTGTGCCTGCAAGTACTGTAGTCTTCCGATCAGCCAATGAAATGATTGCGCACCTGGCCGCCTCTCCGCTCCCCACGGGACCATCCCACCAGCCCCTCGCTCCTCCTCACCACCACCCTTCAAATGCATACATGATTAATTTACTCTTGACCTTTCCACCGTTCCTGATCCCTCCATAAACCTTCATGTCACCTTCAGAATCCTTCACCTTGATAGGGGAGTGGGCAGAATCCATCCAAGCCAGAGAAAGGCGCGGAGAATCCACCCCGATTCTGTACCACAAACGCAATGCTGCTGCTCTGCCGCGCCTCGGGGGACCAGACAGGAATGGCATCTTGGGGAGTGGTGTGTGCACAGAACATACACGTCTCGTTTGACTATTGGCACATGCCAAGAGCCACTTCAGTTCAACACAGGCTCACTTCACATTCACAATCGATGACAAGGGAGCCAATTCTGTTCTCAATGAGTCGTGCTCGATTACTTTATTCTATGACTAGAGCACTTTACATGTCCACGAGAATGGCGTCAACTGCCAGTTTCCGCAGGTCGCAGCCTTGAGAATACGTCAGGCATCCTCTGGTTCCTCTTAGTAAACTGTTATGTTCTGTACCTAAGCGGGCCGCTTTCTCCCACAAAACCACCAAAACCAGCCACATCTAACCACACCCGCCAGTACCCCCCCTTCCAAACTCACAGCCCTTCCCACCCCGTTAACGCCCAATTGCAGAGCAAAAACCCTCTCCAACCCGAAAAAAAAAGAGTTGAAGTCGCGTCGCCCCGTTTTCGGCAGCTCGACATTTATGGAGCCTGCAGGCCACCGCCGCGCGCAGTCCGACGCTGACGCCGTCTTCACCGTCGCGGACTGGGCGCACGAGCGCTTGCGCTCGTTTAACATTCGGAAAACCGGCGGGGCGGAAGGGGCGGCTTCCGCAGGTGGCACATTTTCCATCACAAGCGGCGCAGCTTCCGTGGCGGACGCTCCCCATGCGCCCAGCCCGCGCGGGCGCAAGGTCTCGATCGCCGCTTTCGCAGGTTCCGCGAACGCAGCAGCGGGGGGGAGACCGCATCCAGCGCGCAGCCCTTCCGCGCGCGCGCGCCGAGCGAGCATGGATGCGACGGATCTTAGGGGAGCTTTCTTGAGTGGGGGGATGGCCATCGGCAAGAGCGATGGGAGAGTGAAGGGAGAACCAAAGGGAGAGGAGGAAAAATTATCGGAGAAGCAGCAGGAGAAGCAAGAGGAGAGGCCGAAACAGCAACAGAAGCAAGAAGAGAAGCAGCAGCAGAAGCAGCCAGGGCGGCAGAAGAAGCTCGTTCAAGCGAGTTTTGTGGAGCGACCAAGTGGCAGTGGAGAAGCGGTTGATTCCAGTGGCAGTGTTACTAGTACTAGCCTTGGCGGGAAGGAGCAGCTGTTGCTGCGCGGATCAAAGAACGCCAACCAATGGCGCTCCACCATCGAGCGGCGCTCGCCCCGCGCTGGCGGGCTTGTGTCTCCGCGTGTGGCGGCTGCTCCGCGAGCGGAATTTGAGGCAGGGATTCGATGCGCAGGCGAAGCGGGTGTTGCGGAGAGAGGGAGCGTGGCGAGGGAAGACAGGAGGGACGAGAGGAGAAACGAGAAGGGTGAGGAGAAGGGGGGAGAGAAGAACGAGGCATGGGGGGTGCGGAAGAGTCCTAGGGGGACGAAGGCGGAGAGGAATTTTAAAGAGAAAGGAGTTAGACGGGACAGGGAGGACAGGCGGACGAGGGTAGAGGGGGACGGTGCTGGGAGGGAGACAATGAAGGAGAGAGTGGCGGAGGGAGGGTGGGAGGAGAGGAGGAAGGAGAGGAGGGAGGATAGAAGAGAGGAAGGAACAGAGGAAGGGAGGGTAGAAGAGAGAGAGGAAAAGAGGGCTGGAGCAATGGAGGAACGGGTGGATGAGGAAGGGGAGGAACGGAATGAGGACGAACGAAGGCTCTCGCTCACCTCTGATTGGCTGGGTTCGTTCAGGGAAAATGAAGCAACAGCAGGTAAAGTTGGAGCAGCACCAGCAGCTGCAGCAACAACACCAGCAGCTGCAGCAACAACACCAGCAGCTGCAGCAACAACACCAGCAGCTGCAGCAACAACACCAGCAGCTGCAGCAACAACACCAGCAGCTGGAGCAACAACACCAGCAGCTGCAGCAACAACACCAGCAGCTGCAGCAGAAATGGCAGCAGCAACAGCAGCAGCAGGAATTGCAGCAGCAGCAGGAATTGCAGCAGAGGCGTCACATATCCCCACGCTCTCACTGCTGAGTCCTCGAGGACACCCAACCATGCAGCAGCAGCTCCTCTTAGCCCATCCGCCCGCATCCGCCCCTCTTTCTACCGGCCCACACCCGCCTCGGCAGCAAAGCTTACTTCATCCTCCGCCCCTTCTTGTGCCTGGAGGCCGTATGTGTCAATCTTTTCCTCCAGCCTCCCCTCAAGCTTTCCCGCAGCAGCAGATCAGCCTCCCCCAAGTCAGCCATAGCCCGTCTCAGAAGCACTTCCCTCGAATGAGCCTGTCTGGAAGCACCTCTCTCAACGCCGGAGGATCGAAGTCTTTTCGCCTGCCTCCGCCTCTTATAATAGCAGATGCCTCCCTGCAGTCTAACGTGCCCGTGCCTATGCCCGTGCCCGTGCCCGTGCCCGTGCCCATGTGCACTTCCATGTCTAACCCCGAATTCTCCTATCCCTTGCCTGCAAACCCTAATTTGTCGAACCCTGATTCGCTCCACCCCTCATTGTCTCATCCACACTTACCTCACTCCCCCCTTCCACTACCAGGATCTCCCCACGCGCAAGCCGCTCACCTTTCGCCATCCCTCCTCTCCCAATCCTTCCCTTTCCACCCTCCAGCTCCCCAGTCGCACTCCCACCCTCTCGCTCCCCCGTCTCCCTTCTCCTTCCCGCTCTCCCCAGCATCTCCCTCGCTGCTGATGCGCAAAGTGTGGGAGGCAGAGAGGGCATGTGATAGCGGGGGTTCTCATGGGGACCTGTATGGGCTGGTCACGCCTCATGCTGACGACTTGCACGAGTCTTGGCCTGCCGCTGCTGCTTCTGCTGCTGCTGCTGGGGGAATCAAGGCGTGTCAGGGAGAATCGTTGTCTGCTGCTGCAGGAGGTAGCGATGGGAGTGCGGCCAGTTTTGAGGCGTCGCATAGCTCTCAAAGTTTACACGATGGGAAGGGGGCGAGTTATGTGGCAGAAGAAAGAATCAAAGGGGCGAAGGAAGAAGAGCAGAAGGATGAGGGAGAGGAGGACGGGGATGAGTCTTTACCTGTGTGTAAGCCCTTGGGGAGTGATGGGACGAAAAACGGGGTGATAGGTTTTCGGCAGCAGCAGCAGACACAACAGCAGGCACAGCAGCAGGAGCAGTATCAGCAGCAGCAGCAGCCACAGAAGCAGAAGATTGTGCAGCAGATTCAGCACTTACAGATGCAGCAGAGCTCTCAAAACTTAAACGATGGGAGGGAGTTGAGTTGTGTGGCAGAAGAACGAAGCGAGGGGGCGAAGGAAGAAGAGCAGAAGGATGAGGGAGAGGAGGACGGGGATGAGTCTTTACCTGTGTGTAAGCCCTTGGAGAGTGATGGGACGAGAAACGGGGTGATAGGTTTTCAGCAGCCGCAGCCGCCGCAGCAGCAGCAGATGAGTGTGCAGCAGATAATGCAGCAGTCGCAGCAGGTGCAGCAGCAGAAGCAACAGCGGTGTCATCAGCAGCATCAGCAGCAGCTTCAACAGCAACAGCAGCAACAACAACAACAGCTGCTGTTGCAGCAGCAGCAGCAGCAGCAGCAGTACGAACAACAACAGCAACAGCGGCAGCAGCAGATTCAACACTCACACATACAACAGGTGCAGCAGCAGCTGCTACAGCTACAGCAACAGCTGCAGCAGCTGGAGCAGCAGCAGCACAGCAGCCAGTCAGTTGCGGGATGCTTCAATTTCACTGTAAATGCCACCACGGGTGTCTCCGCTACCCATGCTCTCCATCCTTCACTGCATCCTCCTCCCCACGCTCCCTTCAGCATCCACCCTCCTCTGAACAGTCCCAGGAGCACCAGCCAGTCCTTTATGGATCTCCACCCCCCCCAATTCCGCTCTGCTATTTATGTCTCCTCATCATCCTCCTCCTCCTCCCCCTCCTCCTCCTCCTCCTCCTCCTCGTCCTCCTCCTCCTCCTCCTCCTCCTCCTCCTCCTCCTCCTCCTCCTCCTCCTCCTCCTCCTCGTCCTCCTCCTCCTCCTCCTCCTCCTCCTCCTCCTCCTCCTCCTCCTCCTCCTCCTCCTCCTCCCCCTTTTCCACCAACGATGCTTCTACCACCATTCCCATCACCACCACCACCACTGCCACTCCCACTGCCATAACAAGCAGCACCAGCCGCAGCAGCAGCAGCAGCAACAGCAGTGGCGGCGGCAGCAGCCGCAAAGTCAAGAGAACACCAAGCGCGGCCAATGCACCGGGCAGACCTGGAAGAACTCCCGGCACTCCAAAGGAACCGTCCTCCTCGCAGCTTCCCCGCCGATTGTGGGCGTCTGCAGAGGCAATCCCTGTGGATCACCTATTCAGCACCAGCAGCAGCAGCAACAGCAACGAACCACTTCCTCCCCCTCCTCCTTCTCCATGCTCACACGCTCCCCAATCCCCCCGCCCTACCGTGCCCTTTTCCCCCCGCCTTTCCGCGCGCCGCCCCTCTCCCCTTAACGCTCTCACTCCCCAATCTCCCCCCTGGAAGCCCCTCGTTTTGCCCCATCCTCCCCCTTCTCCCCGCCCTGGCGCTGCTGCCCCCTCTGTTGCCAGAGCCACGCCACGTGGCAGGAGGAGTTTATCTGTGGATGTGCCAGCCTGTCAGAGCCGGGATTTTGATTTGCCGAAAACACCCAGGGTAGGTACACCCAGGGTAGGTACACCCAGGGTAGGTACACCCAGGGTAGGTACACCCAGGGCGGGTACACCTAAAGAAGGCACAACCAGGGCAGGTACACCCCTTTTTAGTTCAGGCACTCCCAAGGGTGAGGCTTCGACTCCTAGAGTGCGGAGCCAAGGAGCAAGGTCGTTTAAAGCATCTGACTCGTTTAGAATAAGAGATGGTACAGGTCAGCGGCAAAAGCCAGACAGTATCGAGCCTGGGGGGAAGGTTGGAGGTGCAAAAGAAGAGAAGGAAACGGAAAGGGAGAGGGGGAGGAGGGATGATACAGCGGCGGCGAGAGGGCAGAAGGAGGAAGAAGGCGATGAGGGAAAGAAGGAGGAGGGGAAGAATGAGAAGGAAGGGGATAAGATCAAGGAGGTAGATAAGCCTGATAATCCTGATAAGCCTGATAAACCTGATAGGCCTGATAAACCTGATAGGCCTGATATACCTGATAAGCCTCTCTGGTGTCAGTTGAAGGACCGCCTGCGAGTGCGGTCGTCAAGCAGGAGCATGGACGCCATTGCATTCTCTCCGCTCTCCCTCGCCCCACCTCACCCACACCACGCACTGCCTCTCTCCCGTTGGCCTCCCTCCCCTCGTCCTGCCCCTGCCCCTCCCGAGCAACCCGCTGCATCCCTGCTTGTAGCACCTGAAGCGCATTCGTCCGCCTCTTTTTCGGGCCCCACGGAAGGTAGTAGTGCTGCGAGTGTGAGCAGCAGGAGCAGTGGCAGCAGCAGGAGGCTCGTTGCTTCCGCTTCCTATAGAAGCCTGAAGCAAACAGAGATTTCTGGCGCTGGGGGGAATGATAGTGCTGGCCGTAGTGTGGAAGAAGGTTCCAGGAAGGATAGGAGGCCTGCTGCTGCTGCTGCTTCTGCCGGTGCCAGTGTTGGTAGTGCTGTTGGCAAAGGTGCTTCCAGTGTTGCTGCTGCTGCAGTTGCAACTCCCAGGAGGCACAGGCGAGCCAAATCAGCTGTTAGTTTGGCGGTGGGTGATTATATTGAAGCAGCAGTAAAGGGCGTCGGTTTGAGCGACAGTGAATCAGATGTGACAATTGGCGGCAAGGTTGAGAGCAGCACACGAGGCAAGGATGATGAGAGAGGGGGGAAGAAAGGGGGGGATGGAGGTGGGGAGAGAGGGAAGGAAAGAGCAGGGGAAAGACGGGGGGAGAGAGGGAAGGAGAGTGAAAATGACAAGGAGCAAGAGAGGTATGACTCTAATCGGAGGGTGGTGCAGGAGTGGGTTTCGAGCCTGGTTCCTCTGAAAGGGGGGGATGATGAGGAGGATGATGAAGGGGACGAGGGGGATGACGAGGATGGGGGAAGGGTAACGGTGGTGCGAGTGGGGAGTGCTGGTGAAGCGACTAGGAGCCGAAGCCCTAAAACTCCCAGTAGAACACCCAGGAGTAGAACTCCTGGTAAGAGCCCGACAGGGGGCAGGCGAAGGAGCCCCAGGAGTTTCAAGGAAGAGCAGGGCAGGAGTCCCAAGGGCGAGGCCTCGTTAGTGGAGCCCTCGTTAGCAGATGATTTGTTGATAAGGGATCATACGGATGACGAGAAAGAGCAGCAGAGGCGGCGCCGGCAGCGGCGGCTGCGGCAGCTGCGATTGGGGAGGAGGTTGAGAGGGGGAGAGGAGGAGATGGGTTGGGAGGAGGAGGGAGATGAGGGGGTGGAGGGGGTGGAGGTGGAGAGGGGGATGGGAAAGGGGGAGGGAGGTGAGAGAGGGAGAAGCGAGTGGAAAGGAGGAGGCAGGCAGGCAAGCGCAGCTGAGTTGTTGTTAATGAGACAGTTGCAGGAGAGGGAAGATGATGGGGTAGGAGATGGGGCAAGAGATGGGGGAGGAGAGAGGCGGAGAGAGAAAGATGTAGGGAGAGAACAGAGGAGGGATAGTTCCCGAGGCATAGTGGAGTCCAGGGAGAAGGTGAGTGGGGAAGGAATAGAGGAAGACGTGGGGCGTGTGGAGAGAGTGAGAAGGAAAGAGAGCAGAGAAGGACGAGGGAGCGGGGGCGAGCAGCAGCAGGAGACGGGATCTACGGAACGTGAGAGTGGAAGTGGGAGGCTGCCAAAGGAGAAGGACGAGGCAGAGTCTAGAAAAACACGGGATGGGGACGCAAAGGAGGGTGGGGAGCGCAAGGAGAGGAGAGGAAGGAAGGAGATGGTGTCAAAGGTGTCGAAGCGAGACAGCGCCTTGGCGCGCAGCAACGAGAAGGTGTACGCCACCATGCGCCGCTCCAAGGACCTCAAGTCCACCAGCGGAGGAGACCCCTCGGACCTTGTCAAGCCCTCTGCTGCAGGAGGCCTTGCTGCGGGCTTTGATGTGTCTAAGGTTCGCGGCGCTATCACGCCGGGACGCTCTCGGGGGAAGGCTGGCGGGACCTCGTTCCGGGCGGCTGAGAAGAGCTTGCTGCCCGATCTTGAGACGACGGTGATGGATTTGAAGCTGGATCTGAAAGCAGCAGCAGGCGCGGGCGCAGGCTCGTCTCGCTTTGAGGAGCTTCGGCAGAAGCAGTCTGCTTCAGCTGCTGCTGCCGCTGCCATTGCTGCTGCTGTCAGTGGTGCTGCTTCTGGCAGTGCTGCTGCTGCTGCTGCTGCTGCTGCTGCTGCTGCTGCTGCTGCTGCTGCTGGTGCTGGTGTGGAAACTCCAAGGCGAGGCAGCCAGGCGAAGAGCCCATGGCGCAACTCTAAAGACCGAAGGCGGATGTCTTATAGCGACCTTGGGGGCCTGGCCTCTCTTTATAGCACCGAGGGGCCGGGGCTGGGAGGCCGAGGGCCGGTGAGAGAGGGGGGGATTAGGCGATCCGGTGAGAGCGTGGGGAGTTTGACGGTGGTGGTGAGGGGGAGTGGCAGGGAAAAGTCGAGAGAGACAGGGCGACGGGTGGGGAAGGAGCGGACGAGGGAGGGGGAGAGGGAGAAGGAGAAGGAGCGGGAGAAGGAGAGGGAGAGGGAGAGGGAGAGGAGTAATGATGGGGGAAAATCAACCTCTGGTGCAGCACACGATAGTAGTCAGCTCAGCACTGCAGGCGGCAGCAGCAAGCATGGCAACAGCAGCAGCAGCAACCAGAGCCAGAACCTCAGCCCATTGCGACTCGAAATGCCTGTCTCGCCCCACACCCCGTCATCCTCCGGCTTTAAATCCAGCTTCTTAACCAACATGCTGTCCCCCAGGGGTCTTATCGGCTCCTGGCGGCCCCCTACTAAAGTGGGGCTTTTAGGCCAGGAGATTTGCTCTCTGCAGGAGCGGTACTTGGTTAAGCAGGAGATCGGGAGCGGATCGTATGGGATGATTCGTGCGGTGCGGGAGAAGGAGACGGGGAAGACGTGGGCGTGCAAGAGCATTGGCAAGGAGCAGATACAGGTGAGTGAGAAAGAGTTGGAGAATGGTGTTGCAGGTACAGGTGATTGTGAGTGAGAGGTTGAATGCCCGCATGCCCCCACCCCATTTCTCCAATCTCCCCTTCCTCAATTCACTCATCCTCCCAGTCCAAACACGATCCCTCCCTCCCCCATTTCCCCAATCTCCTGTTGCCCTACTCTCCCATTCCCGCACTCCTCCATTCCCCCATTCCCCCACTCACCCACTGCTTCGTTCTCCACTCTCCAAGTACCCTCAGACCAAGGCAGCGGGGGCATCGCCCTCACCCCCCTGGATCTCCCCCTTCCCCCCCACTCTCCTGCTATCCGATTCCCCCACTTCCGCATGTCCACCGCCAGACCAAGGCAGCAGTGGCAGCGCTGCGGCAGGAAGTGGCAGTGATGCAGCTGCTGAAGGGGCATCCGCATGTGGTGGAGATCAAAGAGACGGTGGAAGATGACACGGTATGTGTGTGCACGGATGACACGGTATGTGTGTGCACGGATGACACGGTATGTGTGTGCACGGATGACACGGTATGTGTGTGCACGGATGGCACGGGGTGTGTGTGCATGACATAGTTGGTGCGCTGTACCATTATGCGCTGTGTGTTATGCGCCGTGCCGTGCGCAGTGTGGGTTGTGGTGTGTGCAGAGAGCAGCCTTCTGTAGGACCCGCACTGAAGTCAACACCCTCGCTACCCGCCTTCTTCCCGTCCCTCAAACCTCCTCTCACGCCCCCTCTCCCATCCCACGTCGCCCCACCCTCCCACACCCCCTCTGTCATCCCACGTCGTCCCCACCCCCCCCCCCACCAGCACGTGCACATCATCATGCAGCTGTGCCAGGGCGGGGACCTGTTCGACCGCATCAAGCAGCGCAGCCGCTACGAGGAGAGGCCCGCAGCGGCCGTGCTGCAGCAGCTGGCGCTGGTGCTGCGCGCGTGCCACTCCCTGGGGGTCATGCACCGCGATGTCAAGCCCGAGAACCTGCTGCTCTGCTCGCCCTCCGATGACATTGCTGTCAAAGTCACGGATTTCGGAATCGCTGCTACGATCAAGTCAGGTGGGGCGTCGGGGTAAGAGACTGGGGATGCCGAACGATTGGGGGGATTAAGAAACGAGTGGAGCAATGGGAAATGCTGCAGGAGCTGGCTCTGGTGCTGCAGTGCGTGCAGGCATGCCACTCACTAGGTCGGTGTCATGCACTGCGCCGCGATATGAAGCCTGGAAACTTGCTGCTCTGCTCTCCCAGGGGCGTTTTGCGTTTACTCAGTTTTTCCCCCACGAGTGAAGTTGCTGTCAAGATCACGGATTTCGGGATTGCAGCGTCAATCAAATCAGGTGGGTCAATGGGATAAGGTTGAGAAGTGCTGCAACAGATGGTACTGGTGGTATGAGAAAGACCATACCAGCAGTCCTTGTCTTACAACCCTCATAACTAACCTCCTTCCCTTCCCCTCCCAGTTCGTCCTGCCCATCTCCCTCTGCCCTTCTCCCTTTGTCCCCCCCCCCCACCCGGCGCCAAGCTAACAAAGTTCATAGGGTCCCACATGTACAGGGCACCAGAAGATCCCATCGCAACTCCCTTTTCCTCCCTTCTTGCTCCTCTGCCATCTTCCCTGCGCCCCCCTTTTAGGCGCCAAGCTAACAGGGTTCATAGGATCCCGCATGTACATGGCACCAGAAACGTAGGCTTATTTCTGTGCTCTTTCCCTTCCTGTTCTCGCTCTCTCCTTGCCTCTGCCCATCTTCTCTGTGCCCCCCTCCAGGCGCCAAGCTCACAGAGTTCATAGGGTCCCACATGTACATGGCACCAGAAGTGATCAACAAAAGCTACAGTGCCGAAGCCGACGTCTGGTCGGCGGGAGTCGTCCTGTACGTGCTTCTGGCCGGCGTGCCGCCCTTCTGGGCGTCAACAGAGTCTGGAGTGCTGGATGCAATCGTATCCAAGCCTCTCAACCTCTCCTTCCCTCCGTGGCCTTCCATATCCGCGGAGGCCAAGGACCTTATAAAAGAGATGCTTAAGAAAGACCCAGCGGAGCGAATCACACTGGATGCAGTGCTTGGTAAGTACACCGAGCACCGTAAGTTACAATATCACTAAGCGCTGCCACTCTGTCATTTACCACCCCTTGGACCATGTTGTTCTGTAAGTTAACCAAGCCTATTCGCTTGATAAACTAGTGGTATTCCAAGTTTATCTTCTGCCTCGTGTGATTTTCTCTCCCTTTCATTTGACTGTCAAATCATACCATATCCACACTTTCTCATGCCCTTGCCATCCTTCCCACTGCAACATTTCCAGCACTCACACCCTTTTCCCCTCCCTCCCTCTCTCTCACTCCCTCCCTCCCTCCCTCCCTCCCTCCCTCCCTCCCTCCCTCCCTCCCTCCCTCCCTCCCTCCCTCCCTCCCTCCCTCCCTCTCTCCCTCCCTCCCTCCCTCCCTCCCTCCCTCTCTCCCTCCCTCCCTCCCTCCCTCCCTCGCTCCCTCCCTCCCTCGCTCCCTCCCTCCCTCCCTCCCTCCCTCCCTCCCTCCCTCCCTCCCTCCCTCCGTCCCTCCCTCCCTCCCTCCCTCCCTCCCTCCCTCCCTCCCTCCCTCCCTCCCTCCCTCCCTCCCTCCCTCCCTCCCTCCCCACTCCCTTCTCCCTCCGTTCTTCCCTGCCTCTCCGCCCCCACACACCTCAATCCCTCTCTCTCTCGTACATATGCCCCATGCGCCCCATGTCAGAGCATCCTTGGATCAAGGCCCATACTGCACTCCTGTGATACACAGTTCATTCAAATGTACACACTTCCTGTTATTCGCAACCCTGCACCTTTATCCTGGTAGGTTGGCGTACAAATTCTTTCGATTGAACACCACTGCCCCGAACATTCCCCCTGCCCCCCTTTACCCCCCCCCCCCCCCCCCCCCTTCTCTACCTTCTCCATTCCTCCCCCTTCCTTCCCCTCCCCCTACTCCTCCCCCTTCCCCCTTCCGCCCTCCTTCCCCGAATTCCTCCAAATGTGCATAGGAAACCCCTTTTGTGAGATTCTGATGCTGAGGCATCATAGCGTTTTTGAGACATTTGTGTCTACGCATTCTAATGTTGATGTGTCAGCAGCTTGAAAGATGTGTGCTGTGATGGGGATCTTCTCGCCCCCACTCATAGCCTTGTCCAAGGACAAATTTGCCTGTGTTTATGAAGGCGTGCATGCACTACAGCAGGGCCTGCTTTTAGCATAGAGGCAGCCTGACCTGAGCCCTTAGGGCAAGTACTGAAGAAAACGTTTAGGGTTTAGGGTTTAGAGTATGCAAAACATGTCTTCTTCATATCGGAGTGTCAGAATGAACGAATGACGAACGAGAGAGTGGTCTAATGACAAATGTTGTACCCGGTAAAAAGTAATCGATTGTCAAGTAACATTTATATGTTTTGTTAGTTTGTTAGGCTACAGTGATTTGCATAGTATAGAGTACACAGTTTCCCTCGACAATCCTACTTGTACCTTCTTGCCCTACTATTCGATCATCCAATTCCGCTAGCCTACTCTTGAGATGGTATCACGTGCTAAGTTCCTAGGCCTAGTTAGTTCCTAAATCGCCCTAGTTCTTAGTTTCGCTCCCCTCCAGCCCTCACGTCCCTCCTAGTCCTCCAGTCCGCACGCGCTAGCCAGCTAGGGCGTGCGACCGTGCGTTTGTTAGCAGTAGGCGAATACGCGACTGCAGCCAATCACGCACGCATAGGCAGCGCGCGAGCAGCGGCAGTCGAGCGCACACGCACAGCCGCACGCGAATGCACAGCCGACGCGCATGCGCAACCGCGCCCGCACGCACAGCTGCAGCCGCACGCGTGCACCTGCCTGCAGGCCGCACGCGCACAGGCCACAAGCGCACGCCCAGCCGCCGCGCACACGCACAGCAGCTGCGCACGCACGCACAGAAAGTGCCGCACGCACGGCAGTAAGCGCGCCTGCGGCCAGCGCATACGCAGCAGCAGTGCTAGCGCCCGCAGCCGTCAGCAGCAGCCGCATTGCTAGCACCTGCAGCCGCCAACAGCGCAGTAGCAGTGCTAGTGGCCAGCGGCCTGCCTCAGCAGCCAGGAACCCGCAGCGTTGTGCACGCCACGCTCCGCCTGCTGCCCGTACGCAGCAGCGCACGGCTGCATTACACGCACGGGCCACTCTAGCTGGAACTTACCGCCAGCAGCAGACACCAACCGCCCACACCTCATTCCAGCTGCCCACAGCCTCTTCCTGCTGCCCACAGCCTCTTCCTGCCGCCCACATCCTATCCCAGCCGCCCACCACCGCCCACTTCCACCTATTTTTTGCCTACTGCCGCCCATAGCTGCCTCCAGTACCACCAGTGCCCATTGCCTCGTGCACGCCTCCTGCCTTAGGCATCCCTAACGGCGGCGGGCAGCCGCAATCACTTTCTCATGGCGTGGTTTCGGTTTTGTGTCCCGACTGACGTTCCTAGCCCGCCTTGCCAAGTCGACTGTTCCTAGGCTGGTGTCTAATTGTCGGTAAGTCCTAGTATCGCTCTAGCTGTTCCTAGCTCCAGCCGTGCCTTGCTCCAGCCGCTCCTAACTCCAGCCACTCCTGGCTCCAGCCGTGTCTAGCTCCAGCCGTGTCTAGCTCCAGCCGTGCCTTGCTCCAGCCGTGCCTAGCTCCAGCCGTGTCTAGCTCCAGCCGTGTCTAGCTTCAGTTGTGCCTCGCTCCAGCCGTGCCTTGCTCCAACCGTGCCTTGCTCCAGCCGTGCCTTGCTCCAGCCGTACCTTGCTCTAGCCGTGCCTTGCCCTAGTCGTGTCTTGCTCCAGCCGTGCCCTGCTCCTCGCTCCGGCCACTCCTAGCTCCAGCCGTGCCGCTCCAGCCGTGCTTTGCTCCAGGCGTTCCTCGCTCCAGATGCTTCTAGCTCCAGCTGCTCCTAGCGCCAGTGGTTCCTAGCCTGGCGATTTCTCGTTCTGGCAGTGTCTTGCTCCATCTACTCCTAGCCTGCCGCTCCTACACCCAGCTAGCCTTCACTATGGCGTCCACTAGGGTTCTCCAGGGACAGGGACAGCATCAGCGACAGTTTCAGCAGTGGGAGCCTCAGCAGCAGTGGCGCCCTCAGCAGTGGGAGCCTCAGCAGCAGTGGCGCCCTCAGCAGCGGTGGCGCCCTCAGCAGCAGTGGGGGCCCGGTGGTTCGGGTAGCGTTGGCTGCAGCAGCGGCCCAGCCAGCTGGGGGGTTGGTCGCGGTGGCCGCGACTTTGGCCCCTGCCAGTACCGGATCCTGACCGGCCCTGGTGCTGGCACTACCTGCTGGCGTCCTGACCACCCTGCGCAGCACTGCTACAGTCGCCTCGACGACCACTACCGTGAGCATTTTGGGCCTGAGTCCGCTCCCCCGATCCGGCCCGGTTTGTTTCGTAGTGGTTATCCTGTGTTTGATATGTCTATGGATGCTGTTTATTCTATCACGTATGGATCTCTTGGCTTGCGTGTACCTAGCTTAGAACATTTGCGTGTCACCAGTGTAGGTACTTGTGCTTTTAGTGTAGGTGCTTGTGTAGTCACTAGCTCAGTCGTGACGACTGCTGTTGCGTCGCTCTCCTTCACGCTAGACTCCGGCGCGTCTCAGTGCTTCTTCCGTGACCACTGTCACACCTCTTTCGGCTCCAGTCTCAGTTGCCCTGGCTGATCCTACTTCAGGACCAGCAGTTGCTCGCAGCTCGACCACTCTCCCGTGCCCAGCTGTCCCCTCGGGTTTCCTCACTGGTCTCTACATCCCCTCGTTCACTCGGAACTTGGTGGGTGTTGGATACCTTCAGGACCGGGGGATCACGGTCACTTTTCCTGCGCACGGGAGGATTGCGATCTGTACGGACTCTTACACCGGGGCAGTTCTTGCCACGTTTACCAGAGAGCCCCACTCAGGTCTCTTCGTCCTGCACGCTCCGCCCCCCCAGGTAGCTGCGTCTGGTCGGGTTACTTCGTCCCCCCAGGTAGCAGAGTCCGGTCAGGGTACTGCGTCCCCACAGGTTGCTGTGTCCAGTCAGGTTGCTGTGTCCGGTCAGGTTGCTGTGTCCGGTCTAGTTGCTGCGTCCTGCTCTTGTTGGTCGCTCTCCCACCCGACCGTCTTGTGGCACCACCGCCTTGGCCACCTGTCGATCCCCCGCCTCCGCAGCATGGCGAGTCACAGTCTTGTCTCAGGTCTCCCGCGCGTCTTTTCGTCGCTCCCTCCCTCGCTTGCTCCCCCTTGCACTCCTTGCGTCGCCGGTCGTCTGCTCGCCACTCCGCACTCCTCCTCCCTTCGTCCGGCCACTGCTCCCTTCCAGACTCTCCACTTGGACGTCTGGGGACCTGCCCCTACGCAGGGACCTGGGAGGGAGCGCTACTTTCTGGTGGTCGTCGACGACTTCTCCAGGTACACCACAATGTTTCCTCTCGCGAAGAAGTCCGAGGTGACTTCTACCCTTATCCGGTGGCTTCTGGCCACCGAGGGCACTCGTGGTAGTCGTGTCAGTTGTCTCCACTCCGACCGAGGGGGTGAGTTTCGCTCTGGCATTCTTGCCGGGTTCTGTGGCGAGCAGGGCATCACACAGTCCTGGACGCTTCCGGAGTCCCCACAGTAGAATGGGGTTGCTGAGCGCCGCATTGGCTTGGTCATGGACATCGCCCGCACGTCCATGATCCATGCCAGTGCGCCCCATTTTCTGTGGCCCTACGCGGTGTGCTACGCCGCCCACCAGCTGAACCTCCAGCCGCGTGTCTCGCGGCCAGAGGCTTCACCGACCAGTCTTTGGACCGGGTTCCCTGGAGTTGGGTCGGTCTTTCGTGTCTGGGGCTGCCTTGCGCTGGTCCGCGACACTTCTGCGGACAAGCTCTCGGCTCGCTCCATCCCCTGTGTCTTCCTTGGTTTCCCGGTAGGCTCTCCCGACTACTCCTTTTACCACCCCCCCCTCCACCAGTTCCTCGACTCTCGTGACGTCCGGTTTGACGAGTCAGTGTCCTACTACACCCGGTACCCCTGTCGAGGTCTCCCGGTTCCCCCTCCCCCCCTCTTCCTCGCACCCTCTCCTCCCCCTGCTCCCGCTCCTCAGGTACCCCCGGCCCCCCCCGGTCCTGCCCCGTCAGGTGTGTCTCACGCTACCCCTCTCCCCTCAGTCGCGCGCCAGGTAGCGTCTCCCTTCCCGCAGTCCTCCTCACAGACTCCCCAGCAGCCTTCGGCACTTCCGCGACAGGTTACTGTGGACTCAGGTGGTGCTGGAGCTGGAGGTGCTGCCACTGGAGGTGCTCGGACTGAGGGCGCTCGTTCGAGAGGTGTCGGAGCTGGAGGTGCTGGCACTGGAGGTGCTAGCTCTGGGAGTGTTGGAGCTGGAGGTGCTGGCATTGGAGGTGCTAGCTCTGCGGGTGTTGGAGCTGGAGGTGCTGGCACTGTGCTAGCTCTAGGGGTGTTGGAGCTGGAGGTGCTGGCACTGGAGGTGCTAGCTTTGGGGGTGTTGGAGCTGGAGGTGCTGGGCCTGGAGGTGCTAGTTCTGGAGGTACTGGCGCTGGAGGTGCTAGTCCAGGGGACGGTGGAGCTGGGGGTGCCGACACTGGAGGTAGTGGTACTGAGGAGACGGGAGCTTGCGGCTCGCCCCCTCCCCGCTACTACACACGTCTCCAGGCTCTTCGCCGTCTTGAGCGCGAGGAGCAGGAGCGTTTGGAGCAGGAGAGGCAGTAGCTGCGTCAGTTGGACCTGCAGGAGCAGCAGCAGCAGCAGCAGCAGCAGCCACAGCAGCAGCAGCAGCGGCAGCAGCGAC